CACCTGGATCTCGTGAAGTTGGGCTGCGATCGGCCACAGAAACTGGTCCAATGACGTTGGCTCGACGGCTAGATCCAGGTTGTCTTGGAACTCAGTTCTGCTCGAGTCTGACGCATTTAGAAGAAATGCCACCTCCCTTGACTTGGAGCACAGAGAAAAGCAAAGCACCTGCCGGCACCTGCCGATGGGCGACCTGGTCATAACCGGTGCGACTGGACGAATCGTCGAGCCTTTTGGGAACCCCTGCTACACTCCCTGGAACCCTCATGGAAATGGATGGCATGGACCACTTTCTTGTACAAAACAGGTGGTGCCATCCACGGTGTATGGAAAAAAGCGAGTCTCAAAGCACCTGGAGTCTCAAAATGGGTACTACAGTCATAGACCTATTGTAGGCCGGCGGTTGTCGGGTCATGTTCCCCTTTTCTCTACTTTCAGGGTCTGGTCGGGTCTGGTCAAGCTTTAAGGGTTGTCGGGAAGGCTGCTGAAGGACCAGTAGGAGTCTGTTTCTGATGACCGGACTCAGAAAAGTAGACCTTCCAAGGGGTGTCCAATGGAGACCTATCAGTATAGACCCCTTGGGGTAGCTGGGTAGCCCATGAAGCCGAAGTGAAGCAGCTGGGAGAGGTCTTCGTTCCAACTTTTGGTTGATTTGCATTAGAACATCAAACATCGATCACAAGATCCAACTATTAATTGGCCAGGAGTTCCAAATCTCTAGAACATAAGGCGGCGCGATGACCATATGGATACTTGGGAAATTCGGTCTATCCACATTACCTGTAACAGTCAGATACAGTCCAGGAGCCACAAGTATCACCATGTTAGAGATGTCGGCCTGCAACCTAACGATCATAATCCATGGTTACGCATACACTATATAACTTCTAACTCTTTAGGTCACCTCACGTCACATCGCATGTTCGACCATATTGGAAAGAACAAGATCTGGGGACGGTGATCTGTGAACCCAAGACCAACTGCGCCAGGGGGCCACCGAGACACCAAAAGCTTTATTAGGGTCTAATGAGAGTGAAGCTCGGGCATAACACATCTGTGGAGGCAAAACATATGGTTTGATTTGTGGATTTGATGGTAATGCAGACATTATTTGGAAGGTGCCTGGGTTCAAGCGGGTTTTTTCCTATCCTTTTCTTTCTGGACCCTCCATGCGTGCAACTCGGATGGGCCCTTCATGTTCTCTTCCCACTTCCAACGTTTCGCCACACCGATCTTCCACTCAACCACACCTTGAGGTCAGCAGGTATACCTGAATCATATATGAGCAAACAACAATAAATAATACCCCAGACCTTGGGAAATTATTCCAGGGGGTACCGTCAGTTGGTGGAATAATTTTTCTGGAATAATTTTCCTGCCTGGGTATGGGGGTGGTACCTGATGGTGTGTCAGAATAATTACCACATGAGGGCCGTCCGTTATTGCCAGTGAAGGAATTTCGATCAACTGTTAAAACAAACATGTCGCGAAAGGGAAACTGCAGTCCGCGAAAGGCCGGCGATAGGACAGCGAAAGACATGTGCCAACCTAGACTTACATACAATGTGCATAATACATGACACATCCTTTTTCCCGAACAGAAACATGGATTTTCGCGAAAGGGCTGCGAAAGGCCGGCGGCATCACAGTTCCTGAGCTTTGCTGCTTCCCAGTCTCCACCAGACCTGAAACATTGACCTTATTTACTTTCCCTTCAGTGTCCCTGCCACCTTCC